GGTCATTTTTTAGTTTCTTTAACTTCAATTTGAGCAACTTGTTGAGAAGTTAACTGTTCTAACTGAGTCTTTAACCTCTTTGTGTTTATATTCTCTTCTTCTAACTGCTTAATTCGGTCTAATAATTCTTGCTTTTGTCTTTTACTTCACTCCTCAGACTTTTCTTGAAATTTGACTACTTCTTCCCTTTCAATTTCTAAGGCTTCTTCAGTCTTGTCTAGTTGTTCTTGTAGGGAGTTTATTTGTCTTTCATAAAAAGTAGACTGACTTATTTCTTCACGAGGTAAGAGAGTAGGTTACTTCTTCATTGTTTCTAGTACAGTAGCAAACATTCGTACCATTAACAATATCAAAATTTAACTTAGTTTGCAATCTACCACATCTATTATACTTTGACAATTCATTGTCCCAATACTTTTCTTCGCATCCTTCACACAAACTATGTCATCTGAAATTCGTTCTCCAGTTACTTTGCTATGAGATCTTATTTGGTGAACAAATTTATTATTTTGTTTTTAAATTTAGAGCAAAAATCACAAGTTTTTTGCTTCTTTTTCCAATTCTAAAACTGAGTATTCCAGTTCTTTCATTGCAATTTATTTACTCTTTATTTAGACTTGACTTCTACTTGAGCAATCATTCTTGGTTGTGAAATTTTTCCTTTTTGATTAATCTTTGTAATTTTTGTTTATTGATTTAGATATATACAATTAATTGTTTCTCATACATAATTTGGGGCATGCTGCAACAAAACCAGACAAAGTGAACATTGGTATTACCAAGAATTTCAGGGTTCAAAATTTAGTAATGTGATTATTAAAATCTTACATTTGTTATCCTCTTAATATTAGGTTATATATAGAATTACCTCTATATAAAAATAGTTAATATGAAGTTAATTTACATTAGGTCTACTATGGAACCCAAGAATTATAGTACTATCAGAAGTATTTTAAAAAAGGGACAAGGTGAAAAAATTGCTCCTTATATTTTCAAAATAAATGATACTCAGACACTGGAAGCTTATCTAAGAAAAGAAAGAATTACCTATGAAATTTATCAAGAGAAAAGTAAGATTATAACTAATAAAAGAAATTTAACACAAAGTTTATGAAGAACCTAAAAAGAAAAGGAAGTTTGAAGAAAAATAAACTTCTTAGTGTAATAAACATGTGTAATTAACACTACTTTGGTTAAATTTTTTCTTCTTGTCAAATATACAAAAACTCCTATTGCCACCCCTATTATTTCTCCTAATAATAAATAAGATAAATAATTGGTTGAGTCAGTTGAGGGTAATTGTTCTTGCTTTTGCTCAGTAACTATTTGGTTAAGTTCCAATTGAGATAAAGAGGTTTTACTAGTACTTTTTAAATAATTAAATATTTGTTGTAACCAACTTTATTATTATTATTATTATGGTATTCAACTACTAATATATTATCACTCTTAAGAAAACAAAAAACTGTTCTAATTGTTCCAAATCAGAAAGAGAGAAAGGTTTTGGTTCTTCTCCCTCAAATTCATAAACATTTTTATTTTCATTTTCTAACTGCTCTTTTTTTTTGCTTCTCTTTTTCTTTTTTTTTGTTCTAATTCAGTTAGTAAGTTAGTAACTTGTTCTTTAGTTTCTTCACTTAGTAAGTCCTGGTCTAATGATTCTAATTCAGACATTAACCCATTAGAAGACATTTGATCTTGATTAGTTAAGAGGCCTTGAGCTTTCTGGTTTTCTTCCTCTTCCTCTTCCTCTTCCTCTTCTGTGGTTTTTACTCTCCTAGGTTCTCTTTTTAAAGGATTTTCTACAAAATTCATATAACAAATGTTACATAAAAC